TTATCGGGGCGCAAAGTACTGCTACGCTCAAACTCTGTTAGTATACAAATTTTCTTTGTTTTTCTTTATATTGAAACCTTAAAAAAATTCTCCCTAGCGCAATTTAAATTGTATTCATCTAATTTTTTATCCTAGTCATAGCCAATAGTCATCTCTAGGGCCCAACGTTCTTAAAATTTTGATTTTTTGACCCTAGTTTTGAAAAAATTGGAAAAATATGTCCAAATTACTTGTTTTTTGGTGGATTTCAGAGGTTTGGGTTGGGACGCGAATTTTTCTCATGCTGATCTTCTGGGGCTTCTTTTTTTAATTAATCTGGGTTTTATGGGCTAGATCTTGCGTCTCGCATGATAATATTTCATGACTTTTTGAAAAAGATGAAAAATTTGACCTACAAAACCATTAAAAATTGTGTCATTTTTGGCCTGTTTTTCGAGGGTTTTTTGTGCAATTTGTGTCTTACACTTTTTTTTGTGCTCAAAATGGTGTCTAACATTTACGGAAAACTACTGTTGGAGTGTCTGTAATTAAATTTGTGTCACCTTTTAAATGCAGTTTTTGGTACTTGCGTTTCTTCGTTTTGAAAATCGTTTCCTAACAATTTGTTTTTGTTGGTTAATAATTTTCTTTCTTAGTGTTAGTCTTTTTGTTATTATGTATCCCATTGTTTGTCTATGTGGTGTGGTTACGAGGTCGTATTTTTCGTGGTTGACATAAGGTTTAGGATGATGGATGCAAAATCTGTATTAGTGATTTTAATGACTTAAACTGTTAGTTCTTACAATTTTTTGTAGTTAGCTTAACTCGGGTCGTATTGTTGGGTAGGAGAGAAAAGCGTATATTGATTCCTGAGAATGATTTTTACTTTCTCGTGACTTATTCTAAGCTAAGATTGACCTACTTAATCTTACTTAGGGGCTGTGATTTGTGATCAAGGGTTGGAGAATACTAAATCGATCCACAAGGTTCAGGTATAATTAGAACGCAAGTAGTTCGTTAGATACTATTTTATGACTTTCTAAGTTTAAGTACTATCCTGGTTCAGTTAAGAGAGGGGATAAGTGAAGGATGAGTAACCGAAGTTCTTCATTGTCTATCCTAATTAAAATGGTTAGTTCTTGAAAAATTTCTGTTAATTCTGTGTCTTTAATAAGGATTGGGTATTGAATCGACGTTTAAGGTCGTTAAACGCTAATTTAGTTTGGGAGGGGGAGAACAAAATTGTTCTATTTGATTCAAGGATAAGCCTTAATGATCAGAAATTTAGATTTAGTTTAATTTAATTTAAAGATCCAAGGGAAGCCTTGATGAACAGAAAATTTAGATAAAGTTAATTTATTTTAAGTTAGGTGAAATAAATTTACAGATCCAAGGGAAGCCATGATGATCAGATCACTTAGATAAAGTTATTTAATTTTAATTTAAGTGAAATTATTTTACAGATCCAGGGGAAGCCTTGATGATCAGATTATTTAGATAAATTTAATTTATTTTAGTTTAAGTGAAATTAATTTAAAGATCCAAGGAAAGCCTTACTTTAAATGAAATTTATTTAAAAGAAAACAAGGATAAGCCTTGATAACTTTTAGGTAAAGGTTAAGTAATGAGGAAAAAGTTAAGTGTTTAGTTTTGATGATGTTAATGTTTTGAGATTTGCTGGTATGTTTGAGGTGGATGAAGCTGGCATGAGAGGAAGATTTATATATACTAACAATTATGCTTTATACTAACTAATTTTTGTATTTTATATTCAATAAATATTTTTTCGAAGATATTTTTAATACTCGAGATTTTTAAGGAGAATGACTAGAGTTGTTTTCATCAACCGTTACTGTATAATTATTAGGTTTAGCGCCATGAAAGGTTGTTCTAGATATTTCTTCAAAACTTTTTGTCAGTAATTGAAAAATTTGAATTTACAGCTGGAAATGTTCTAAATATAAAATTTTGATCTCGTTTTTGTCGCACAATCATGAAATCGATTGTTTGAATTCTTCCTAGTCGTACGTCGTCTCTTGTCCGAGGTCTTCTTCCAAAACCGGGTAGTTCTCGTATTTTTGGCAAAATTGGCTCTGATCTAATGAGTCGTGGAGACATTTCTACTACATTTTTGTCTTATAACATTTCTTTTAAAAGTTGTTTTTGTCTAATTCTGATCTATTTTTTCTAAATCTAGGTTAGTTAAGGTCTGTTTGAGAATTTTGGTCGCGCCAGATGAGTTATGTAGAAGTTACTGTACTCATAGAGTAATTTCAGATAAGGTACACCGTCTGCTCGTTACGCTATCTTATTTTCAGCCGGGTAGATTCGTGCAACTTCTAAGTCTGAAACCAATCTTAATCTTACTCTTATATCTCCTAGTCTCAATAGATCTAGTGTACACCGGTTTATGCGAGTTAGTTCCAGAATGAGAACAACTGTATTCTAAGTTTAATTCAAATTGCTCTGGTGTTGAAACTACAAGTAGTTTCAACACTTACAAATAAGTGGGTTGTTAGTTTGATGGAGTATAATTGGTTAGTATTTAATAGTTTAAAGAGATAAAATATCATAATTATAACCAATGATAAATACTAGTTTAGATCTGGCTCCGTTTCACTCTGATTGTCAACATATGGTCGAATCAGGGTCGAACTAGAGCTATGATTCTGAATCATGATTAATTTGCGTTCTCAAAATCAAATCTTGTCAAGGCTACCATTTTTTGTTAAAACTGAGAGAAATAGACCAACTATTTTTTTACTATGGCTTCTATGACTACCTCAAAGTCAGCCATCTAGTACGCCTGGAACCTAGGTAAGTGTTTGTGTTTTTCAATCAAAAATCTGATCAAAGAAAAAGGGCTCCATGTGAATAAATTATCAAAAAAAGAATAGCTCGATTGAAAATGAAATGAAAATGAAGCACGAATGAGCAAATCATAAATATGATTGATTTCGAGAACTGCCATTGAGGACTAGAGTTGTTAAACTGAACTGTTATGTTTGATATTTATATCTTCAATTTTTGATCAATAATTTTTTTTGTTACTGTTTTTGTTCCAGCCAGTTGAAGAACTATGGCGTAGACACTATATAATGAAGAAACTAACTGAGGGAAAAAACGTTTGTTTTTCCGGCTGATTTCTACTACCTCAAAAAAGCTTGTTAGAAAAAAGTATGTCGTCTGATCAAAGACCTATCAAATCAAATCTACATTCTGGATTTAGATTCTATACAAAAACTTTCAATTAAGTTTCCGTTTCGCAATAAAATGATCTGAGTTTTTCCGTTTAACAGATTAAATTACAAAAAAACAAGACTGCTCGTATCAAGGCGAAGCCCTGAATGTTTCGACTGCCTTTTAAGATTTATTGAGCAGCAGTAATACATTAAAAAAAATTAAATGAAATAAAATAAAATGAATTTTTTTTTCTAAATTATTTTCTAAAATCCCTCCACACGCCATATAAAAAACAAAAAGATAGATTTCGTTCCTTGTAACAAATAAATTATGGCAAAAAAGCTTCCTTCAACCCATTTGGAACGATTTATAAGACGGATTAAATCTCCGCATACGCGTTAATAGCGCGAATTATATTGCGCGTTAATTGTCCCTAATTGGTCAAAATGGCCAAAATGGCAAATTTTAAACCCTCATAACTTTACGAAAAATGATCACAGGTGAAATGTCTTTTCAAATTTAAACTCAAGACAACAATACTTTTTGAATGATAAAAAAAATTCCGTCAAAAATGGCTAGTTAAAAAGTCGAAATTTGTCTGAAGAAAAAAAACCCACCCCGAGCACAAATATTCCGTTACTTTCGTATCGAAAATCGGAACAATAATGACACTACAAGGGTCAAAACTCTTAATGTAAACCTACTAAAATTAAATATTTATCGTTCCGACTTTCGATACGAAAGTAACGGAATATTTGTGCTCGGGGTGGATTTTTTTTTCTTCAGACAAATTTCGCTTTTTAACTTGCCATTTTTGACACAATTTTTTTACATCATTCGAAAGCTATTGTTGTCCTGAGCTTAAATTTGAAAAGATATTTCACCTGTGACCATTTTCAAAAAGTTATGGGGTTTTAAAGATTGCCATATTGGCCAATTAAGGACAATTAACGCGCGATATATTTCGCGCTATTAACGCGTAAGCGGAGATTTAATCCGTCTTAGAAATCGTTCCAAATTGGTTGAAAGAAGCTTATTTGCCATAATTGATTTGTTACAAGGAGCGAAAGGGGGATGATATTAATAAAAAATTTCAAATTTTAGAAAAAAATTTTTTACATTGGTTTTTTAAATGTTATTACTGCTCGTTAAACCTTAAAAGGCAGTCGGAACATTCAGGGCTTTGCCCTGATACGAGCAGTTTTGTCTAATTTTATTTTCAACTGTATTGTTTGCAGCGTTCAATGAAATATAGTGAAAGGAAATGAGTATAGCAAAAAATATGAAAAGATTAGAAGCTTAATTTTTTTTAAATTTCCTGTTGGATTTGTTTTAGGTTAGAAAAAGTTCCTTCTCAATATTCATTGCAATCTGTGAGTGAAATATTTTGAGCTTTTTGCAAAGCAATCGGTTATCGATGTTGCCGTATGTTTATGTTTACTTGATTTCGAATTAAAGTGTTTTTTTTTCTTATCTTTTAGGTTAAGTTGATACTAATTAGTTTAAATTTTGCAAAAGTTGAAAGCGGATTTATTTTGAAATAGTAACTTTTTATTCGTCCTCCATCTAGACGGCGCAACTTTTGAATTTGCAATTTTGTGATGTTTCAGCTTGCTGTTGATGTTTTTGCAATAATCAGCTTGACGTTTCTAATTTTTTTTGAGTGGTTCTACAAGTTTTAAAATTTTTCAAAGCGTTTCCGGCACTAACATGTTGACCTCGTGTTTTAATCAGTCATAATTAAAATTGCATTTGATTTAAGTCTGGCGCCATCCTTCAGTTTTGAGAAACAACACGAACACTCTATTTTAAATGTTTATGGTTCTGTTTGGCTCGTTTGATGACAAATAGACAATCACCAATATACAGAGATCGAACTGACTTAGCTGCAAATCTTTCAATGAGAAATTTGTAATTGAGTTCAAGTTATGCCAGCCAAAATTATTCCCATTATTTTTACCTCTCTATTTGTGATTCTAACTTTTTCAGGTATGAATTTATTTTTTTTCAAACGCGGAGCTAATTTCTTAGAATTGGAGCAAAACAAAAGCGATTGTCAAAAAAGTGTTTTTTTTTTGCTGCACAAAAAACTGTACGAAACTAAAGCATAGCCACTGTTCCCACAATTAGTGAAATGCAAAATATGAGCATTGTCAAAACAAGGTCAGATCCAGTCCTTTTATTAGTTTCGGAGTGGTTGGAGTTTCAAATTTAGCCAAGGCTGTTTCAAATTAGATCTATTAAAAAATCTTTTCAAACATAACTAGGTCACAACTACAAACTACAGCTCGTAAAATGAGAACCTCCTGATCTGAAAAAAGTAATGAAACAACTGGTGTGTTACTTTTTGAAAACTACCCAGAGCACATACATTTAATCTAGTTAATTGAGTTGTTACAATTTTAGCTTGCGCAGTACATGGTTCAGCCAACAACAATTCCAGTCAACCGATCCGTAATCGTCCAAACATTTATTCACTGGATTTTTTGTTGCCTGGAACTATCGTTGAATATAGACGGCAATGCGCTCGTTTCAGGTAATTTTCAGAGAAAACAATTCAAGTCTAGAGGTGAAATGCAATCATAGTTTTTCAATCAGAACAAAATGGTCAACAAAGTTTTTTTATCCAAACTTAGGTTCAGATGTCTTTGTGAGTTAAGTCAAATTGGATCTTCATCGTGTTTTTCTAGTGCTCAAACTAATTGTTTGTGAAAAGTTTTGTCGAAAGTTATCTTGCAAAATCTTGGAAAAATCATGCAAGATTCTTGCAGTATAACCTCAATCTTGCAAGATCTTGCGAGATAACCTCAATCTTTTAAGATCTTGCAAGATAACCCTCACTTGCCAGAATCTTGCAAGTTCTTGCAAGATAGCAATCCTTGATCGTTCAGGGAATGACAACACGCGATTCAATTGAGATTCAAAAACAAATTGTGGTTTCACGTATTTTGTTGCTTCAAACAAAAACGATAAGAAAATCAACAATGTTTTTTACTGTCCTTCAAAAACAGAGTATAGTTTTGACATCCCCCTTAAAAAAGATCGATTGGCAAGCTGGAAGCGTATGTTTTTCATATTAGAAATTGTTATCTTTTTTTCGATTCGCTTGTTTTTCCGAGTTTTTCCTAATATTTTTCCTAATATTTTTCCTAATTGTTTTTCCCGATAATTTTCTGTTATTTTCTGGATGTATAACTTTGATTCTTGATTAGTTAATGCGCCAAATTCCATTTTATCAGTTTCAAATATTTTTTTTTTACTATCTGGTTATATTCAGCCAAACTATTTTCCTTCAAACAAGATGTAGTATGATAATTTTACTGCAAGAATACATACTAACAGCATATCAACAGTAGTGTTCTGAAAATTTGGGTCAGTCCAATCATCCTGAATGTGCCGTTTCCGATAAAAAAAATTCAACCATTTTTGTGTTAGTTTATATTTAATGGCCATGTTTTATGATTCTCTGAAACCAATGGCAGAAGATGCTTCATTGAGTGCTTCAAATCGTATCAAAAAATCTCAAATATTTTAATCCCTTCAAAACACTTTGGTCAACTTCTCAAAAACGAAAGTCTGAACGCTTTTGCGTAGTCTCGAACTTTAAAGTTGTCTCGAACTTTAAATAGAGAGCTTCGATTGATTTAATATCTGGTACTAACTCAATACAATCTGCAAATCAAGCGCTGGAATGCATCACAACTAAAGGCTTTCTAATTGTAATAAAAAAGTGCCCTCAAGTTTTACACGAGTTAAAATTTTGCTATAATAGTGAATGAACTTCCATATTCAATTTTGCAATTTTGAGATCATAGTCATAGAGATTTACCAGCAAATATGATCTGAGTGCGAGGTTGAAAATTTTCATATTTCAGGAAACCGAAGAAGTTTGACTGTTTCAATGTCGATGCATTTTGCAATCATTATAAAACAAAACTCAAAGCTAAGGCATCTGTTCATTTTGATGAAGAATATCGGTTGTGCACTGTAGAAAAACAACAAAATCATTGGAAAATTCTCTCTAGCCGATTAAACTGAAAAAATTGAATCAGAATGTACAAGATTGATCAAAGAAGACCTCTATTTTGATTTTTTTTCAGTTTGGTTTTTAAAATCCAGCTAATTTCAATACAAGGTATACTGAATGGCTTTCATTTTTCAAAAATAACGAGTTTGGACAACATAATTTTGCAGAGGTTTTGAAACTGAATTAATTGCTGAATTTTATCAACAAAAAATGTTACCTAGGTTTATAATGAATACATTTTAGTTATAAATCTTCTCTTCAATATAGTTACAAAATTGACTTGCAGTCTACAAAAGTTTACCTACATAAAAAACTGAAACCTACTTTGTAAAATATCGAAAATTAAGAATTAATCCCCAACAAGACGAAAAGATAACAGCCTCAGATAATTAAAATTTCTAATTGAAAATTATTTGCGTTCTCTGAACTATTCAGTCCTTTGCTACGATCAAACATCAAACTCTTACATCATCTGCTATCTCGAAAACTATTGACGTTACAACACAAGCAAAACACAAAAATTGCCCAGCATCAAATAAACTGATCAAATTTTGACTCTTCATACCTAGTCTGACTCATCAAGGTCTTGTTAAATCATCTTATATATATATCAATAAACTATCAAATATCGACTTTTGATCATGAAAATATTATTGGGTTACATGACAAAAGATCCCTTACCTTAAGATCCCAAACGAGAAGATCCCAGTCAATAAGATACCATTCCAAAAGATACCTCGTTCTAAAATCGCCCACGACATAAGATAGCATAATAAAATAACAAAGAACCTGAGAATTGAAAATAAAGCGGTTAATCGATCAAAGCAAAAACAAAGCGTCGGTTAAAATCAAAGAAACGGCAAAAATTTTGCTGCACAAATTTCGAACATAAATGACCTTGCTAATCACTTGGCCTTTAAAATATAAATGAAGATAAAAAATGTTATGGCCGGGTTCTTCTTGTAACTTCTTAGTTTTAGTGGTAATTAATTTCGGTCAAAAAAGCTCCTCGAACACCTCAAACCTCCAGTTGAAAGCAGGAAAAAATATTATGTTTTTTTTTTCATATTGTGGGGTTTTTAAGAAGCAGTCTTATATGAGGTTTTTAAAAAACGCAAAAATCTACTGGCGAATTACAAACAAGCTCCATTACATTTTTCTATTTATCAAAATTGAGGACATGGTTTGGTTTTATAATCATTTCATAGAATTATAAATTCTGAGATGGTTGTTTTTTTCCTAATGAAAGTTCAAGTTTCGAAAATTCGCCCTTTTTTAACAGTTTTTCGGTGTTGACTAGTTTTTTTTATATTTTTGTTAAAAAAATATGTACGATGTTGAAAAAAAAACAATGAATATAAGAGACTTAGATCAGTGAAATTTTATGGAATGAACAGTAATTAAGCGATGCACGCTTTTGAGTGATATTATTCAAGTGTATTCTTAAAAGCACGATAATCAATGCAAAAGGATTTATCTATATCTAAACTGGATGACTCGCAACTTCTAAGTTGGTCAATCCTATAAAGACCAAATTGCTGTTAACACAATCTCTGAAGCTGAACAGTTTTGATTTTCAAGATTTTGTTATAAGAAAAATCATCAAGACAAAGGATGTAAAAAGAACATAATAATAGATACTTTGTACTTACTGATGAAAATAATTGAATACACTGCCTTGAGTAGTTTCTGGCTGAGCAAATTTTTTGTTGTTTTTAGTTTTGGTTAAAAAAATCATAATTTTTTGAGATAGCAAGAAACGAACATAACTTTATTCGTAGTTTGAAATTTTCTTATTCATTGTTTTTGATGCTCAGTATCTTTCATGTTCATGTCTATCGTCAAAAAATTGAAATTTGAAGTTTATTTTTGACTCGCATTCTGAAGCTGTGGTTTAAATTACATGTAACGTGTACATTCTTTTTTCTTGTGATATATGGATTTGATTCAGGTCAGACATTGCCTAGTGTTGCTTATATGAAACATTCAAAACCATAAAGTGTTTAATGCACATGCATTGTTTTTGAAGTGCAGCTCAAAATAATTTATGCATTTTAATTTCTCTCTTTCTTTCCAACAACCACATATAAGAGTTCATAGTTTCATCGCTACAAAAAACTAAATAGTTTAGTGACACCAAGTAATCTTCAATTAGATAAAAATAATTATTTGGTGCTGTTATCATTTCGTAATAAAAGGAATTCATACCTCAAGTTTCAAATTCCTGCATATTAAAACTAAGTTTTTTTAACTTGGTAATTTTTTGTAGAGTGCGAGCTAATTTCGTAGGCAAACTAAAGAGAACAGTTATAGCTAAATCGTTTTCAATATGAAGCTAGGTATCATCATTTAGTGAGAAACTTTCAGTTATTATTTTTCGGTTGCCTGTGTTTTCACATAGTCTCCAAAAAACTCCGTGATATTTGATTTTCGTGAAACTCGTGAGAACTGATTATAGAAAACTGATTGCAATTCAGTAAAGTTTTCATTCAAAAGAACTGAGATTTTACAGCCATCCTGAAAGTAACCAAAACGAGAGCTATCTTGTACTTTGTGGTTCGGTACCTTTTACTTTTTACATTTTGAGTGCTTAGAAGACAATTTCAACTTAGTTTTGTAGTTTTACGACCGAGCACAATCCCACATTTCTTCATTTTTGCGACTGCAACAACAAAATGTTATAGCTAAATCGTTTTCAATATGAAGCTAGGTATCATCATTTAGTGAGAAAATTTCAGTTATTATTTTTCGGTTGCCTGTGTTTTCACATAGTCTCCAAAAAACTCCGTGATATTTGATTTTCGTGAAACTCGTGAGAACTGATTATAGAAAACTGATTGCAATTCAGTAAAGTTTTCATTCAAAAAAACTGAGATTTTACAGCCATCCTGAAAGTAACCAAAACGAGATTTATCTTGTACTTTGTGGTTCGGTACCTTTTACTTTTCACATTTTGAGTGCTTTGAAGACAATTTCCATTTAGTTTTGTAGTTTTACGACCGAGCACAATCCCACATTTCTTCATTTTTGCGACTGCAACAACAAAATGAACAGAAGTCATTGCTTCAAGTTTTGTTTTTATAAAAATCGCAATATGCATCGACATCGAATTATTCAAACTTCTTCAGTTTCCTGAAAATTAAAATTTTCAATTTTCCACTCAGATTATGTTTGCTGGTAAGATCGTTTGTTTCTTGGTCTCAAAATTCGTTTGATTCTTGGTCTCAAATTTTATTGCAAAGGTTAGCAAGAGTTTATTCTAATTGGTAACAAAATTTTATTTTGTGTAAAACCCAAATGCCTTTTTTTGCACTTTTAGAAGTGTTAAGTTGGGTTGCATTAACTCCAGTGGCTGATTTGCATATTGTGTTGAGTTTCAACTCCACTTATAGGGACCTGAATGAAAATCGCGCGAACGATTGCTCAAGAAAACTCCAAACTTGATTGCAACTGAAATGATCAACTTTTGCCGATGCTTTTAAGAGAAAAATGCTAAAATTTTGTCAACACAAAATTGTTCAAAAAATTACAAAATGTGATTTTCGATTTCTTTTCACGCTAATAGTTCATTAAAAAAACCAAGAATTATCTTGTGGGAAACTTTTTGCGTTTTTTGAAAGCCAGACCAAAAATTCTCACCAACTCCAACTCCCCCTCCCGCCACAGTTTTTACTTTTGCGCCAAGACTCTTTGTATTCGCCCCTGCTTCAGTTTGAGTCAACTAATGTTACAAAACAGTTTCTTTACCTTTTTTCTGCGCTGGAATTTTTTCGTCGATAATTTAAAAAATGTAGTCGAGTTTTTCAGAATGACTTCCCAGTTTCGACCGAGCTGGTAGAAAAGGGACACAATCTATATTTGTCGATTTGATCAAAAGAAGTTTAATTTTCACAAGAATGGTTTAAGCAGACCCTCATTTGGTTTTAGAAAAAAATGGAGAGAGAAGTCGACTACTGTCAAAGTATACGTTGATCACAGCTCAAAAATAGGTTGAACTTCGGTTGAGAATTGAATAGTTTTTCAAAAACTTTTTTCTGATACTAGTTTTTTTCTAACTTGGTGAAACCATTCAGCAAAAATGTCTTCTCGAGAGCTCCAGCTTTAAAGTACTTTTCAATTAGGCGTAAAAATATCAAAATGGCGTTTGTTTATTGTAGAAAAAAACTAATAATTTAGGTATGTAGGTTTGAATTTGAAAAAAAAATGTCTAAATAGCCTGAAAATTGAAAACATAACTTTCAGTAGAAGTAGAAATTGAGCGCACTTCCTGTGCAACTAGGATTTGGAACCAGCTCTAAACTAGAATTTAAAATTGGTTATAAATATAATTCTGTAATTCTATAAAATATTCTTAACTAACCAATCATATTCCATAACTAACATTTACATTTATTTGTAAGTGCTGAAACTACTTGCAGTTTCAGCACTAGAGCAATTTGAATAAAACTTAGAATACAGTTGTTCTCCTGGAAACTAACTCGCATGAACCAGTATACACTAGATCTATTGAGGCTAGGAGATATAAGAGTAAGATTAAGATCGGTATTAGACAAAGTAGTTGCACGAATCTATCCGGCCGAAAATAAGATGGTGTACCTTATCTGAAACTACTCTATGAGTACAGTCAATAATACATAACTCAAATTATAAACTGAAAAAACTTATCATTAAACATTGTTCAAGCTCTTACTTCTGCCTCGTCAAGTTTTGGCGGCCCCAACAGAATACGTCCCGAGCATCTCCAGCTAATTTTGTACCTAAGACCGAAGAGAGGAGAATGTTTAATTTGGCTAAAAACAACTTCAAGAAACTGAACTGGTTTTCGTTCTTCAAAGACGACGAAATTTTTGGTGAGTGTCTTTTTTCATGTCAACCAGTTAAACAGTTAGTGTGTACATAGTACAGAAAGTGTCCAAAGTACTGTAATTGTGGATTTAGACAAAAATTACGTAACGACAACAATAAACAAAACAAAACTTTTGAACAGAATCGTATTTTTTTTCAATTAAAAAACTGAAATTAAAATAATGTAAGTTTTAATAGGGCGAAACTCCCTAATTGAATTGCTCGATTCCGCTGATTCGAGTTTCTAGTACGCCAGCAAAATTGATAGAGCACATACAGATAAACCGTTCGATATTGTAGGTTTTTAATATGTATCTAAATTTCAAAATTATAGCCGATTTATGGCATGGAACTTGCATAAAAATTAAAAATGTCTCCTTGTTGAAAATTTTCAAATAAAAACGTTGAAAACCGGCCTTTAATTTCGGTTTTCTTTAAATTTTGACGCGAAATAATACCACATGCTATATCTTTTTGTCATTTACACTAGTCACAATCATAAACTCTAAAATAACTGCTTCTGCTCGAAAAAGATAGACGAATCGAAATCGTTGCCCATTTGCAGTCACATGCAGTAATTTGTTATTAAAGGTTTGGGTTTTAATCATTGTAAGTTTGGCCAATTTGAGACAAACATTGCTCGATGTTATCCCACACAGAGCTCGATTATATCCTACACAGTAGCTAATTTGGGAGGAAAGGCGAATGCCCTCAGGAATTTGACACGGACGCAATCAAAAGCGTCACCCTTTGGTTTTTTTTTCAAATTTTTTATCAAAGGGTCGCCTTCTGCGCCGGTCCATTTTTAGTAGAAGTGTGAAAGTACTAGAAGTGTGAAAAATTTTAGGTGTGAAAACGAGCCCAATTTTAAGGCCTCAAATCAGACTCATTTTAGACTCGAGGCAGGTACCTGCTAACAGGTACCTGTCAACCTGCCTCGTTCATAGTATATAGACCCCGTTCAAAACTCTCTTGCTCATTCTAAAAACTTCTTCACCGGGCTTCACACTGCACTCTGGAGGATTGGACTTCAACATTCAACTTCAACCTTCCAGATGTAAAAGCGGGCTGGTCCCAAGGACTCCAAGACTTCTAGTTTCAAGACGCTCAAGGCCTTGTTCATCAGTGGACCCAAGAAGTCAACACCCTCATCCAGCGCTACTACCCTCAAGGATCTTAGATCCACTGGCCTCTTTGGCCACCATAAAATATGAAACTCTTTCATCGACGTTTTCTATATCTCCGCTCTCTGAGCAAGCCCTGCAGTCTCCAGCTTACATAGACATAGGAGTCTAGAACTTCAACTCGCTGGAGATGGACAGTGATGTCAAGTTTGATCTTCTGGACAGCCCCAATAGACCCCCACTGCAAACATGACCGTTTGAGGTTGTCACCAGTCAAAGGAGGACAGAGAAAAGATCACATGGACCACAACATCTCGAGAAGTACACTTTTGTGGTCTACTCAATGATTCAAGAAGGCCTCTTCTGTCGCTTCTGTTTCTGCTTTGCTGACAACGAGGAGATAAAGAAAACTGGCGGTTCTTCCGAAGTACAACATGTCAACAAGCCTTTCCAGAAGTTTGCACACGGTCAAACTACTTGGAGACTCGTCAGATGAGGTCCCATCACAGAAAGGCTTTGGAGAAAGCGCAGGCTTTCCTGGACTCAGTCAAGCACACAGAGCGACACATCGGTGTTTCCCTCGACCGAGCGGTTGCCAAAGAAATGGAGAGAAACTATCAAAGGATCCATGCTGATGTTGTCAAAATTGGTGATGTCCAACTAGAGGGTCGGAGAGGCCGGCCTCCTACACATACATCAGCAGCCTGTGATCATTTTTGTCAAACTGTCTACCTGCCTTTCATCGACTTTGTACTGTGATACTTGCAGGAAAGGTTCTTGTCTTGCTCCAAATCGAATATAATGGATTCTCAGAGGCCCTTGAAGATGTTTTCCAAATATTTAAAAGTAAATAATTTTCACATAATGTTTTGTTTTTTAAAAATGTTTCTCTTCTTTTTAATTTGGCAGTTTAACAATTTATTTAATTATTTTTACCAAGACCCACTTTTTTAATACCATTTGACCTATATCCCCTCACGTTCAGAGGTGGTTCAATGGTTGAACGGAGGGAGGGGGTTGGTAATCAATGGGTGAAGGAGGGACTCAACGTAAACTCCACCACCTGTTCTAAGCACCCTCCCCAGTTTAAAATACAGGAGGTGGGGTTGAAGAGGTGGACTAATCCTTGAGTAGCCACCCCCATCCTATTGTAAAACAATTAGGGAAAGGGGGTGTAAAATATGAAATAGGGGTGATGGGTTGAACTGTAAGCTGAGGGGGGAGGGGAGTAAACAAATTTACACCAAAAACAGCCCAAAAACATGATTTGGTAGAAAAATTAACATGGTTTTCTACTTTTTCGTTTCGTTTTGATTGATATTTAGTCTACAAGTTGTCTTTGATTCGCAATTGTTTTGCAGAAAAAAAGTACAACAAGCTAAGAATAGAGGTTTTTCTGCAGAAAACAATCGTTTATAATGGTTTTTTTTTTGGAAAAATGAAGAACAAATCGGTTATTTAGGTAGAAAACTGGATTATAATGGAGAAAACTGGATTATAAAATTATAAAAAATTATTAGAATGGGTTTTAGTGTCAAAATCATTGGACAATATAATCGATTATAGATGCCAGTTTAAAGATTCAAATCTATTTTTAATGGAATTTAATCAGTTTTGATTATATCAACTCAATAATCAAAACTGATTAAATTCCATTAAAAATAGATTTGAATCTTTAAACTGGCATCTATAATCGATTATATTGTCCAATGATTTTGACACTAAAATCCATTCTAATAATTTTTTATTCATTAGTAAAATCCAGTGCGGGATTCGCGCTATTTAACGCGTAGGCAGAGGTTTAATCTATCTTGTAAAAAATTCAAAAAACGAGGTGTGCTATTTGGTCTATTTATTACTTTGCTATCTGCAATTCACCTTGTACTTTAAATAAATGGTAGGAGATGCTTTTCAGTTTTTGATAGATTCATCGTATTTTTGTGAAACGGGCGCTCCTCCATCGACCTTAAAAGGGAGTCGGAGCATTCGAGTTCTTGCCCTTATACGGGCAAAATTAATTAACTTATGTTCAAGTTAAAATAAAAGTTAAAACCAGTTAACTTGGAACGATTTGCAATGCTACAGTCTGATAGTGAATGCAAAGGGTTAGGTCGAAGAGCTCAGTGTACAACTCGACCGTCGGGGCAAACATTCGGTATGTTTTGTCCGTCACGATCGATTGCGGGTATTTTTTGACCGCTCTCGACCAAAAAAAAGTCTGCTCGATTGTGCTGGACTAGAGCAAGATATGTTTCGACCGTGCTCGAGAAAAAAAAGTGCTCGACCATGCTCGACCCAATTGAGATTTATTTCGACCGCTTTGTCCGAATTATTATTAGTTATCAAAACTTAAAAGTCAAAACTTTTGCTTTTCGGCTATTTTCGGTTCTTGGGGTTATTTGCAAATAAAAAATTTTGTAGAGATGCGCTACTTTTGATCTGATTTATTTTTTCATTCATGGATACTGGTTTTCAATTTTAATAAAAAGCGTTAACAAAAATGTTGATATTCGTTTTTGCCTCCGATTTACTTGAGTAACCGGTGTTTTTTGACCGCTCTTGAGGTAGGTTTCGACAGGGGTCGAGGTATGTTTCGGCTGTGCTCGAGGTATGTTTCGACCGTGCTAGACCAAATTTTGATATGTTTTGACCATGCTCGCGGTATGTTTCGGTATGTAAAAATTAGAACCTTGTCTCGAATTTTCCTTCACTGTCGAGCACTGAAAGACAAAACAAAAGCGAGCACCTCAGCCCGGGTTGTCACGATAAGTTTGTATTTCTTCATTGTTTGCTATCTACCAGCAGATACCTCAGAGTGAACAACATTTCAGATACCATTATCGACATTGACTTTCAACTACCGAAAAGTCATGTGAAAATAAAGCTGCTCGTCTATCGGGTTAGAACTTTTAAAACCAACTAGTTCACCTCATTTCAGTTTGGAATGTTAAATAGTTCGGCATGCCTAAAAATTTCGCGTGCCTAAATTATACTAAGTTTTTGATGAGCATTTCCACCGTCATTTAGGCTAGTGACAAGCACACTTGCTATGCAAACAAAAAAATTGTCCTTAGTGTTGACAAAACAGAACCCATAGTTTTTGGGTAAAAAAATGGTTCGAAAAAAATTATTTAAAAAGAAGAAAGAGTTTGTTGACAAAATAGAACCCCTTGTTGTTGACAATTTAGAACCCATAATTTTTGGATAAAAAAATAATTTAGAAAGATTATTTACAAACAAGAAAGAGTTTCGCTACAGGTTCATTCCAGGAACCTTGGAGTGTTACTAGGTGAAATCTTAGCGTTTCAGCCTAATTTAACAAATATTGAAGCAAAACGGCTGTTGCAATTCAATCAAAGTACTGCTGGCGGCATAGCTTACCTTAGGAAACGAAATTTGAATGTTTAAGGTCACTAGTTTTCTCACATTTATCTTTAAATTTAGTTTTTTCAGAACTTAACCGTGACTCAAATCAACTAAGTAAGCAGATAAATCAACTGCCAAATCAATTAGTGTATAAAAAGAGTGTCTGAGAAAAATTGATCATGCTCGAAATATACTTCTCAAATCCAAAGCTTTACCAGCTGATTTTTTCATTATCCAACATAGCCTGATAAGAATGTTCGATTTCGCGAAAAATTATTATGACAAAATAATTCTGTAAGCAAAATATCTAAAACAGAGTAGATTCCTGAAAACAAATTGAGGAAAAACTTAGAGAAATCAAAAATTCGAACGAATGAAATAATTTAACTTTAAAGCTGAGAAAAATTAAGCCTGATCAGAAATTTAAAATTGTTTTACGGATCGCCGAACTGTTGAGATTCCTTGCTTATCGTTTGTCTGGAGCTTTTCTGACCCCCATGTCTTCCATACTAGAA